CGCGCAAAAAAAAAAAAAAAACTACCTGATATTCTTCTCTCACATTCTTTCACCTTTCAGCCTCCCAGGGGCCAAGTCCCACTAGCAGCGTTGAGCTACCTCAACGCCTGAATCTGGACGTGTTTGTGGATATGTGCAGTTCAGGAAACTCAACACCATTTCTGAACATCTCCCCAAAAGCGTCCAGATTCAGGCGTTGAGGTAGCTCAACGCTGCTAGTGGGACTTGGCCCCAGGGAGTGTAAGTGGTGTCTGCGCTTACCAGCACCCCTAGCACCTGCTCGGGTTGTTCTTTAAATAAATAAATAAAAAAGGAAAAAGAAAAAAAGAGCCTACTCCTAAGGCTGTATAGAGGGGGGGGACCCCTCCAAGCATAGCTATCTCTTACGGTGAAGGGGATATCGCATGTTGCCCTTGCCCTAGTGGTTAAGGGTGCAGGGTTGGGGCCGCCGCTGGGGGTCCGGCTAACGCAAAATGCTCGGTCTTTGCATTAAACTGTGGAAGATTTAAAGATGTAAGTCGGGTTGTCTACGCTGAAATAAATATAAAATTATAAATTATATAACTATATGCTAAACAGGATGTGGTCTTCAACTCTTTGTACTGTGCATAAAATTAGGTACGCTACAACGTGTATGTTTCAGAAATAAAATATTATAAAAATCATTGGTTAAATCATCTTACACCATAAATGCTTCGCATACTTGGGCTTGGTTGGTAACTTGGTGGTGGTTTCTAAATGTTCATTCCCTATTTAGTATTTAGTATTTACCACTAACGACAATGAGAGAAACTACTGTTCATTTACAAAAGATCGTTTCTTTTTTTTCTAGCAAGTTCTTGTCCTTCCATTTCTTTTATTTTATTATTCTTTTTTTTTTTTTTTTGGTCCGATGGACCACGGATCAGATATTAAACTGATCAGAACAGATACTACACTTGATCTACTTTAGCCAAAAGGCCGAGTTCCATACATTTCAAAAGATAATAAAGATTGTACTTGCAGCCGCACCGTCCGCCGTGCTGTGCGCGCGGCACCTGCTTGTGTGCCGTACCAGCCATACCGTGCGCGCGGCACCTACTACCTACTTTTGCTGTTTTCGTAGATACAGAAGAGTGCGAAAAGCACCACCTAAGGAACAGATGCTGTTCAAGTGCAATCGTACATATTTTTCTTTCTGTCCAATTGGGCATGAGAAATAGCCTCAAATAGGTGTCGGCAACATCACTCTTGAGTCTTGGCCTTTAGGTAGTGTCATTACTCTCCTTTTTTTTTTTTTTTTTTTTTTTTTTTTTTGCCATCCCACAATAAATCTTCAAAGGGGATGCAGGTGACCATCTCCAAATCTGAGAGCGCCTCAAGTCGAGAGTGCAATGTGGCGAAGCACACTCCCGAATGGATGTCACGTCTTCTGACGTTCGGGAGTACTCCCAATATTTTCCAAGTCGAGAGCAGTGTGTCAATGCTCTACGTCTTTGCAGCACAATCTGACCGCTGATAAAATGAGCTGCAGAATAGCTGTGCAGATAGCTGCCATTCGATTTCAAAACCTACACACAGTTGTCCTTCAGGACATCCGTAAAAAAATGGACATCCATAAAAATTGGAGGTACACACAGAGAAGATTGCTTCATTGCCCCTGTACAAGGATGACACACATAAATCAACGAGTGGTCGAAAATTCCAAATGAAACCAAACAGGAAAAAAAAGAAAAACAGTAGACACAGAGATAGTTCAATGGGGCATGGCAAGAAGTATCGTAACAGGAGGAAGGAGTGAGAAGGATCAGAGCAGGATGGATGAGGGAGGAGAAGGGCTGAGAACCGCAAGAGGCAGGAGAGAGGGAAAAGGAGGGAGAAGAAGGAAGGAGGAGTGAGGAGGGGGGGAGCAAAGAAAGAACGAGCAGCAGCGAGGAAAGAGAAAGAGGGCGGAGAAGGTAGGAGGAGGTAAGAGCAAGGACGAGGAGGAGGAGGAGGGAGAGTTGATTCTTGACAGCGGAGGAAGGAGAAGGTAGGAGAAGGGAAGAGAAGGGACGAGGGGATAAGAGGAGGGATGAAAAGGGAGGGAAAAGGAGGAGGCAGATAGAGGGAGGATTAAATGCCATAAGTTAAGGAGGAGGAGGGAAGAGGAGGGAGGACACACCATGGGTAGCTGGCAGCTTACAGAGAGAGAGAGAAAGAGAGAGAGAGAGAGAGAGAGAGAGAGAGAGAGAGAGAGAGAGAGAGAGAGAGAGAGAGAGAGAGAGGAATGACGAGCTAGTGCACACTGATTAATGACCAGCCAAAACTGGGAGTCCGGGAAAAGAAAAGGGGAAAAAAATGCCGCATCTTGGTACCATAAAAAACGAGACAGGGAGGCATGGCAGCAACCATGGAATCCTGTAGCTAGCGGTACCATCTTCAAAAGAATCACAATATTATTATATTACGCTAATCTCTGACTATTGATTTACAGAGGGCTGAGAGCAGAACAGACCTTAGCTCTGCCTGAGACTCGCTCGATAAGATTTGAGCTCTCGCTCATCTAGCTGCTATGCTGCTATAGCCATGGAAGCTTTTGGAGGCCCCATAATCTCTACCCTTACCCCCTTATTCTCTGGAATTGAACCCCTACTAGTCTCCCGACGTCCCCACCTCGCTACAAATTGGGCCGTGCTGCAAATCCGCAGGACCACCACACATATCTTGGTCTTTCAATTGGACTCGACAATGATGGTTGGGCGCAAATTGTCCTGAATTCCGGGAGGCTGAGACATCGACTCGACATGGGGACTGTGGGAGACTGGCCGTTTTAACCTTCACCCTTGTCGCCTAGGCTTGTGTACCACATCAGCCAGACATGAAACTTTTGCTGGACTCTCCTGGTGATGATGACGATGACGTTGTTAGCAGAACATCATCTGACTGATGGCAGATGGCTGTCTATCTACCCTTGTTCTAAGCCCCTAAAGGGCCTTATAAAAAAGTTATAATTCAGCACACCTTATCCATGTTCTAAAAAGGGCCTTAAAGGGCCCTAAAGGGGTTCTAAAAAGGGCGCTAAAGGGCCTTACAATTCAATTTGGAACCCCTTCAGCAGAGTACCGTACCTTACCGCAAGTCTAAGGGCTTAGACTTGCTTGCTCAAAAAGTGTATATACTTTGTTGCAAAGGTATATACACTTTTCGAGCAAGTCTAAGCCCTTAAAAAAACTTTTCGAGCGAAAAGGGTGTAAAGGTCCACAGCAGCAAAGCCCTCAGTCTAAGGACTTTTTGAGATAGTCCTCAGAGGTTAGACTCTTTGGGGCCCTTGCCGAAAGAGTCCCACAGGTGCTATGCCTATCCATGGTCACAAAGCACAATGCGGTTGTGAACCTGGCCCCGAAAACAGCAAAGAACCAGACTGAGTGGGCCCAACATAGCTCTCTCCACTTCTTTTTTTTTCTCTCCCCTTCTTTACACTTGTTTCTTGACAGGAAGACTTCAACTACAGTTGAGACTCGAGAGCTATATCAAACACGATGGCTCTGTGTGTACAGTGGGCATCGCCACACCACTCCCGAAATGTGCAAACTGCGAATGAATTTCGCGATAGAAGATGGCCAGATGCACGTGCCAATTTTTTGTCTTTTTCACATTTTCAAGAGTTGTGTGGCGAGGACCATTTGCACTTCTCAGACAGGAACAGCACTGAAAGAGAAAGGAAAAAGAACAAAAAGTCAATAAACACAGAAGAAAAAAGTACATGGTGATGCTCAAAGCATCTCATTCTACATTCCTGTGGATCTACTCCAACTCGACCCGATATCACAACCTGGCAGCTTCTCCTATGCATATACTCTTGGGGTACCTCCCTTTCTCGCCCCTCACCGCCCTCCTCTCTCCTCTCCTCTCCTCTCCTCTCCTCTCCTCTCCCCTCTCCTCCAGCCCCCGCCCCCCGCTGCCCTCCCTCCCCTTCTTTCCCCTTCCCTTGACAGCGTTGCCCTGAGAGTGCCTGCAAATTGCTTGCTACTGTGTAACCAGCATGAATCTTCATGGGATTCTGGACCAAATTCATGCCAAGCTCACCGCTGCAGCATAGCTAGACAGACCCTCGCACCCCTATACAGAACTCTACAGCACACTGTGCACCCCGTTTTTTTAAGCCAACGGATATGGACATGAACCTGCTGCACATTACAAAGCAGCTTCATTGTACATAAGCACAGAACAACAGAGCTCTTACCTACATGTCCTGAAAACTGCTCCATCTTCCAAGTTGCCCCTACTTGCCCAGTGACATTCTCTTCTCTGCTAATTTGCACAAACTGCCATGAATCTTGCCAGAAACATGAAGCAGGTTCATGGTCTGATCGCACAGAATACCATGCACTTTGGACGCCCCCCTTAACCCCCTCCCTCCGCTCCCCCCCTCCAAACGTTGGCATCACGGCTTAGGCTCTAGGTTCCTCCACATCTAGATGTGTATAAGAGACAGACTATGGACTGGCTGGTGGATCACACGAACCTCGAGCAGAAAGGCCTGGCGACTCCGTGGTGCCCACGGTGCCTGGACGCCTTCCCCGCACGAAA